AAGACAATAAATAAGTAAAAATTATTTTTAATACTAGTTTTATTGACCACAAACAGGACTGTACTCTAAATAATTCCCCATGCTTTACAGGAATATTTTATTATATTTACATCTATTTTTCAGCCAACTTAGCTTCTCTAGACTAACGTTGATCTTTTTTGTGAGTTTATCTACTTTTTGCTGCACTTTTTTGCTAGCAGTTAGCAACTTCAAGGCTATTTCTGAGATAGCAGCAGACACATTACTGTCTCAGTAATTCATTTTACAGTAATCTGAGAGTTTTCAGAAAATATAAAGTGATAGCCAATCACTTTTAATATATCTTAATAAATGCCAACATGTTTTCCTTCCACTTCTTTACATGAAAAAATCAAGCAAAAAACGGATTTAGGAACAATTCAGTTCCTTCCGAAGGTTTTCCTACGAGTTGATCTCAGTAAAGCTTTACTACCAGTAGTAAAACAGCTCTATTTAAATGTGTCAAACTGTTCCTACTGTATACAATACACAGTCATAGAGAAATATCCAGGTTGTGGCCGACCAAGATGCCTGCACTCTTTTTTAGGACTTGTGGCATTTATGGCTGTGACAGAAATGTGGCTGTGGGTTTAGGACTGGGAGGGAGAGGATCTCCAGGTGAGGTGACAGGTGGAGACTTGCTCGTAATTGGGTTCAGTTCTGCATGAACTGTCTCTCTTCTCTGGAAGTCAACAGTTCCGGTCTCTTTAGAGCTGTTCAGTCTGTGAATAATGTGAATGTGAGGGGAACCTCAAGTGTCTCTAGTTAGTTAGTCTCAACTGGATGATGGGATACTTAAAGTGAATGCCCTATTTATTTGGGTTTGAAAAATAGTGTTTATAATGTATGTACACAACACAGGATAAATATACAGGTTTCTATGTAATATAATAGGTTCTTAGTTCAGTTCCTATTTTTTCTGTTTTTCTGTTTTATTTTTTTCTGGCAGAAAATAATATATAGAGCAATTACCAATCATTGTTTTGTGGCACGCTAGTACACCATGAGAGATCACCAAGTATGCTGTGGAAAAGTATACAGTTTCTCTTAATTGGTCAGAAGAAAAGTATTTATTTACTGCAAATAATATGTCTTAGTGCAACAGTAACAAGCAGAAAATTAGAATACGCTTCCACTAGGTGGCAGTACAAAGCTATAATTTTTTTTAAAGCTAGAAACATGAAGATTTTGAAGTCTTCTTTCTTCAATTCTTGTATGTCAGGATTGTGTTCAACTAAACATACCAAGGTTTAATACAGTGTAAGTAAAATATAAGTAAAACGAAACTAGAAGATCATCGTATACGATTAGAAATGTACTTTTTGTAATACTTGTTTAGTGGTTCGCCATTGGATTTTTTTTATTGCAAAATATGTGAGGTGGCTCAAAAAAGTATTTAATGATTCAACACAAAAAAGTATCGATTTTCAAAATGCAGTTATACAGACATAGATATTTGTTTTATCTCCTAATATCAGAATAAGAAAGAAAGAAAGACATGGTTAAATATTTTAAACACTGTTATTACGATTGTATTTGGTACTCGTACAAATTTATAATGTATGTTTGTACGTAATGAGAGCTTCCCCTCTAAAATAACACAGATGACATCATTAAGGGCTGCTCGTAGTTGAGGTGAAACTAGAGCCACTGTTCTCAAGTGAGAATCAAGGTGAGACAATCAATGTGAATGTTCCAAAGCTGCTTTAGGCTTTAGAACCTTGACCTGGCCCCCATTTACAGAAGAACAACTATTCTTTGTTGCTCTTTAAACCTCCTGCTGGAGCCTCAAAGATATCTGCCTTTGTGCCAAGCTGTCATGTGGTCAAAGGTGATTATAGTCCTAATAGGGGATTTAATTAAAGATGACTTACAGTCTCAACCTCTTCTGTTTTTTTATTTCCTTGTCTCCTGCCTGTTTCTTATAGCTGACCTCACCACTTTCAGTGCCCTGGAGCTTGCACACAAACAAAGCTGCGTTTTTTTGGAACAATGGGGAACATCTGCACACCCTTGATATTTCAGTTTGTAGGTGCAAAGGGTCGAGTG